CTGTGGGTGCTCTGGCTCCTTCGGCCCAGGTTCAGGCAGCACTTCCTGCCCAGCCACAGAAGAAGTTCTCTGGTCAGAAGGTTGGAAGCACATAGATTCTAGGGGAGTCCTAAGCTCCAGACCAGACCTCTTCCAGAGCTCCCTGCATCCATGGGACTGGTCACAGGAGCCCTGAGGAGCTTCACTGCCACCTGGATGTCCTTCTGTAGAGGTACATGCTCACATTTGGCCACACTGGAGAGGAAGTTATATAAAATTCAGGTGTGGACGAAGTGTCTTCCGTGTCCTACTCTTAGCTGTGCACAGCGTCAGCTGCACCGGCCTCCTGCAGTGTCTTTCCCAGTTACATGGCCAATGAAAATAGCGAGCACAACTCAAATGCAAAACCACAACCAGTGTTCAAGTCAACACAGAAACATGTGGGGTCCCCTGCTTACCCCACCCGACAGTTCTTGCATCCCAGGTTGGGCTCTTGTAGCCTCTCCTATTTGCAAGATATTCTGGAACATTGAGAGGGTATACAGGTCTTTACCACTGACAAACTTAACTTGTCCTTTTCTAGATTAGGAGATTTGACCCTGAAGAAGTTAAAGCGAGCTTGCTCAGAAAGACACTCTGGTTTCAAAGTTGTGGCTCCAACTCAAGAGTCCTGGAGGCAGGTAGAGGCTCTTGTGGGCTGAGGGTCTTAGAAGAAGGTGTGCTCTGCCTAAGTCCCCGGACCACTATGCCCTTGGAGCAAATTCCGAGAACAGCCTGGTTAGCAGGTCTCGCCTCCCACTCAGCAGGGTGACTTATGGCTGGGAGGGGGAGCCCCGGCAGTGTTCTTGGTTTGCTTTTTTTTTTTACTCTTTGGCATTTGGGTTTGCAGAATAGTTGGACCTCCAAAATAACGTCCCTCAACTGACTACACAGCAGTGGGTAGAAATGTGGGGAAGGCCACGCATAGGCTCTGTGTGCTGGAGGTAGTAAGGAAGATGCACCGGTTTACTAAGGAAGATGCACTGGTTTACTTTGCGTCTTTTTGTGTACACAGCTTGTCTGGTTTTTGCCAGCACTTTCAGGGTGCTGCCTGCCTCTTAAACTTTTTAAAAAACTGTAAACAGCATCAGTGGGGTTTGCAGAAGGAAGCTGTGGTTTCTGGTCTTCCTGTTCATTCACATGTTTTTTTTAGAGGAAGGGCTAACATCTGACCATATTTTTCAACAAGATCAGAAGTGAACACAGGAGAATGCACAGTAACTGTCGGCAGAGAGGGAGGAACCAGAATTCCTCCAAAGAAATTCCTCTTCAAACCGATTTTCCAACGGGGTGTTCCATGGAGAACGAGGTAGGTGCAAGTCCAGCCAGGAAAGAACCGTCTAGAATGATTGCTTGGGTCCCTCACGGGTGCATTTGTGAGCCAGGAGGACCTGATCCTGTGACCCCTGCTCTGGGAAGGTTGGGTGGAGAGTTCCTGCTGGCTTCCGGGTCTGAGAACCAGCGGCTGCGGGTGGACAGTGAGCAAGATGAGGAGCCATTTGTAGGTTGTCGGGTTCATCCATCTTAAGCCAAAGAATAAGAGGCCAGAGTGTCATGGCTGCCGAGCAAGAGCAATCTTCATGTGGATTTTTAGTCAATTTAGGACCCAAGATCTGAGTTGGAAATGATTTAGGGAAAAGGTCAAGGAAAAGAGCACGCCCACACCAACTTGAGGTGTTGGCGCCAACTCGAGCCTGGACTTTCGTCCTTGACGCCCATGGGAGAACCGGGGGCGCTGTGTGGTTGTCAACAGAGCAAATTGGCAGCAGTGCAGGAGGTCCGGTTCACACGGAGTCCTGAGATGGGGAACTCACGGTCTATAGAAGGGTTGAGGGCACTGGCTGTGTTGTGCTCATCTTTAGGCCTCTGTAGCACCTAAGAAAGGTTCTTTTTCTGTTGGTAGGCACCTGAGTACTTAACTTTTTTTAATGAGATAGCTAATCTGTTGACTTGTCTTGTGGTAAATACTGGAAGTTAGTTGAAATTAAGATAGGCAATGTGGCAATGCAGGTGAAAACGGAAGGTGCTCCTTGTCATGGAGTAATACTGGAAGTTAGTTGAAATTAAGATAGGCAATGTGGCAATGCAGGTGAAAACAGAAGGTGCTCCTTGTCATGGAGTTTACAGGAGGGGCTTTGTCACAGTGCCTTGTACACCTCGGGCAGGTATGACTCTGTAGGGTGTAGCCACTGACCTGCCCAGCTGGACAGAATTGTAGCTTCAGTTTTCTGCTGAAGCTGGCCTCTTGGAGCGGTCTGCCCAACCCACACTTGGCTTTGATGCCTCCTCCAGTCGTGGTCCGCACCCCTGCCTAGGCCTGATCACTGCAGTGTGGTAGACCTCTCTCCCCTACTAGACTGGGGCCCCTGGAGCAGGGACGGGGGTTCCTTCGCATTACACCCCCAGTGCCAGGCATACCAAGCACTCATTAGACATTTGCTGAATGCTGAACTGAAGGACCCCCGGGCCTTGCACTTGGAAAGTCCTTGTTCAGGGGCAGCTTTGTGTTGTTAAATTACAGGACTAAATAAGATACATACGAGAGAATGCCTGAACACTGTCCCCGAGGCGCCCTGGGTACCTAGTGTGTTTCCTTCCCTCCTAGACTTCATGCACTTTCTCCAGAAAATGCTGCGCTTGGTGTTGTGCACGTGGAGCCAGTTGGTATGTGTCACCTTATTATTAACTTTCGTCCCCAAGTAGAGGCCACTGTCCCACCCATGAAATGCATTTCTCATTGTAGATTAATAAACAGATGCTCTGACAGAGAAGATAGCCTCTAAGAATTTGTTTAGGAGATGCAGTAACTCAGAGCCTGGTCACCCCAAGTGAGTTGATAAATTGAGCTTCAGTTGAATAAAACTCAGGGCCAGCTGTTGGCACCTGGGCCCTCTTCCAGGAAAATGTTGAGTGGACCAGAGTTAGCGTGTGCATGTTTGTCTAACTAAGAGCTACATTTTAGGTTTCCAACTTCAAAAGTTGTTTCAAGCATAAGATGGAAAATATTGCAAGAATATTGTAAGGATCTAGGGATCATTTCCAAGCCAGTCCAGAAGGTTCTGCACAGTTATAAGAAGTGGCATATGTTCCACGTGAGAAGTCTGCACAATGCTGGGTGGTGCCTCAGAAGCCCTGCCTTCCCTCCCTGTCTCCCTGCCTTGGACCTTCGGCTGATTCCTTCAACCCTCAGGGCTCCCATTTCCTCATGAGAGACTTAGGCACACATGGACCCCAGTTGCACCCCAGTGCCGGGGCTCCATTCATGAAGTGAAATGGCATCTAGTTTTGTGCTCCTTCTTGGGGCTAAGTTGGTCCTTTTGTCTTTTGGGGTCAAAGATTATAAGATCATTTTGGTGATGATGAACATGAGCACTTAATAAAAACACTTGTTGAATGAAAAATGAGTGATTGCACGGGCTAAAACCACTGTTCAGACTCTGTGTTGATCTGGAGAATATTCCAGTGAATTGAAGAATCCATGATCGTTTACTGGAATCCTGATTCTGTGTATCAAAATTATTTCTTAGTTTATTTTTTCAACCAGAATTTCCCTTTACATTTTCATGTTCAAAAGCAACATCAGTTCCAAAACCCTGAGTGCCCTCCTGTTCATTGTGTTTCTGGAAAAGCGGAGAGGCCCCCCACCATGCCTGCTGCCCCCCAGCTCCCAGTGTGTGTACTTTCCAGCTCCCTACAGCAGGAGTGGGGTGTGCATCAGTGCAACACGCCCACTGTCCTCGGGTAGAGCAGCCACCCCCCCGTTCTGTGCTGAAACGGTGAGGTGGCAGAGGAAAGCTGCTGGGTTTGCTGTGATGCGTTTCTTTACCTAATGGTTTCGACATTCTACTTTCTAGGAAGGCTTCTCCACCAGTTAAAGTTATTTGGGCCATTTTTTTGAAAATCGTATGGTGCCTGGTGTCTTCAAGGCTAAGGGCGAGGCTGGGAAGCTGTGCCTGCTCCCAAATCGGTCATGCTGAGTTCATGCTCAGCCATGTGGTCATGTGTGGGGCCCAGGTTGGAGGGGCGCCTCCCCTGGGAAGCACTTTGGTGGTTCCCTTCGCCTCTGCCAGCCTGTGAGCAGCTGGAGGATTGGCACCACTATTTGTCATGGTCTGTGCCTTGTTGCCAGAGTAGCACCTTTAAAAACAGGCCAGTTTGGCACAAAGCACACCTTTGAGGCATCTGGCTCGTTGTTTTCATGTTCTTCTGCTTTGGCCTGATTTCCCCTGCTTGACTGACCTCCTTGAGGGTAGGAATTAGGTATCATTCACCCTCAGGGCCTTCCTGATGCCTGGCCGGCATAGGCACCAGAAACATGTTCAGTAGCCAGCTTTTGTCACTCCCCCAAGAGGTGCTGGGTCCCAAGAGGTGAAGGAGGGAGAGGGAGTTCGGTTTGACATAGGGAAAACTGTCAGACGGTAGGAGGCATCTGCAGGAAGTTGTCCTGGTTTCCTTGGCCTGCAGGGGACCAGACAGAAGCCGCTTATCTGCCCGCAGAGGGTCTCTCTTTAGGGTGGGTTGCAGGACTTGGGCCCTGGGGTCCTTGCCAGCACAGACTACTTCTGTGTGCAGACTGTAATGTGTGACCTGCACCTCAGCATTAAAATAACAGCATGGGTTGCATGCAGTCTGTGGACCTGGTGATTTGGCACGGGCTTCTTGGTGAGAGGCTGGCTTTGGCAGTGCCTTGTCTCAGAGTTGATTTCCTCTTGCTCTCAGGTGTAGAGGAGAAAGGGGTGAAACAGCACACGGGTTGAGCTGAGCTGTTTGCGTGTGCCCTCAGGTTCAGAATCAACCACGGTCTGTGCTGCAGCTAGTTATGATTCAGGAGGGTTAGCTTTGTGGGGTTGCTGGGTAGAAATGGTCTAGGGACAGATGTTTACCTCTGGCCAATTTCCACTTATATATACCTCTGGAGATTGTAAGTTTTAAGAGGTTCAAGGCTTGTGTTATGAGCCTTGGTATTTCCATAGCCCTGGGGCAGTGCTGCACACATCATAGGAACTGGGAGGCTATCTGCAGACAAACGAAGGATCAAGCAGAACCTGGCTGAAGAGTCATCTGTTTGCCATCTGATCCGTCGGGGGGCCAGCCAGAGAGGCAGTCACAGTCCACTATGGCCTGCCTGCTGTAGGGCTGGTGAAACGTGATGTTTGCATTACTACATTTCCAGGGTCATTTTCAACTTAAAGTTAACCATTGGTGCTTGTCTGGCAAATCGTGGGTGACCATTTCTCACCAGCCCCCATGTGAACTCCACACAGAGACCACCTGGTGCAGACACCACCCCCAGGCTATCACCTGAAGTGCCCCCATCCTCTACCACTCACCTAAATCATCCTGGGGCTGAAAGTTCCTGTGGGATTGAGAAGAAGGAAGCCTGAGCGGACCCCAGGGGCAGTCTGTCTCAGAGCTGGGGTCAGGCAGCGCAGGTGCCTCAGAGGAGCCCTTGCCGTCCGTTCTGCAGCTCGTCTGTGAGGCTGTGGAGATGATATAGTCATCTTATGATGATGTTGCTTGTCTTGTCTTGCTTAGCTTTTCACACTTTTATCTTGTCTCAGCTTAAGTGTAAGCAGCCATAGGCAGGAACTATACTCATCTTTAAAATAAAACTTAATGTTATGGACAATTTCAAATATAAACAAAAGCCGAGAGAAGTAAATGAAGCTCCGTGTGCACAACATACAGCTTTGATCGTTAGCAGCCCTGCAGGTCTCATGTCAGTGTTCCTCCACCCCTGGCCAGAATGCTGAGGGGCTGTGTTGGGATAGGGTGGGGTGGGAATGAGGGGGTGCTCCAGGGTAAGGAGGGGGGTGCTCCAGGTTGAGGAGGGGGTGCTC